CGCAGGTGGCGCAGCGCTGCCGCGCCAAGGCGGCCGGCGGTCTCGTGCGCCAGCGGAAGCACCGGCCACGGCGCGCGGTGGCCGGGATACCGGCGCCGCTTGTCCGCCTCCGCGGCTGCGTTGACGGCGCCGTTGCCGTCGGCGGCGGCGGCGAGGCGCTCGTCGTCGGCAGGGGCGCAGTAGCGGACTGTCACATCCGCGAGGAGCCTCGGGCAGTCTCCTCTTTGCGCCTCGAGGTCCAGGAGCGCCTCTCCGACCCGAGCGCTGTGCCGCAGCGCGTGCAGGGCCCGGCCGGTGGGGCGTCGGCAGTGCCACGGGCTGCGCAGGCCGGAGAGGAGCAGCGCCAGTGCCACCTATCCCACGCAGGGACGGCCACCTGGCGTGTGGCGCGGAAGCCGCAGTCCTGGTGGATGCGCTCCCAGGCGTCCTCCACGTCTCGGCTCCTCGCCTTCAAGCCGCCGCAGGCGCAGATGAAGGCGTGGCGCGCCTTCCGGCAGAGCGGCTGTCCGCAGGCTTGGCCAGCCCTCGCGCCGGCGCGGTCGCGGTTCTCGCAGCGGGCGTTGGCTGGCGCCGCGTCCTGCCCGAGCAGCGCCCGCGCGGTGGCGTAGTAGTCGGCGTCCTCCAGCCGCTGCCGAGGCCCGCCGTGGGCGAGCTGCCAGCCCGCCGCGTGCGGCCCGCCGCAGGAGCGCAGCAAGGCTCGTTCCTCGGCTCTGAGGGCGCTCAGCAAGGCGTCGTAGCTCTTTTTGTCTAGCCTGTGCATGAGCACCCGCTGGAGCTTCGGTCGAGGCCCCTGCGCCGGCAGCGTCCAGGGCGGCAGCAGCCGGCTCCTCTCCTCTGCGTCAGGTAGCAGTTCCGCCAGTGCCGTCGGGCAGGCGTCCGCGAGGGGCAGCGCGGAGGTCTCCAGGTCGGTCAGCCCGGCCAGGCCCGCGCGTGCTCGGGTCTCCGCCAGGCTCTGCGCCCAGGAAGCCGCCCAGGCGGCCGGCGCCAGCGCGGCCTGGCTCTGGAGGCCCCGGCCGCCCAGCCGCAGTGGCAGGCGG